AAAAATGAGAAATGTTCCTTTGGCAAATAGCTGAAATAAATATTTTTATATTTTATTTTATTTTTTATTTATTAGCAATTAACGTTTATTTATTTCAAGTAACACAAATGTTTTTTAATGGTTTTAATTTTAGTTTTCGTTAATAATAACCTTTGAACATTCAAAGCATAATCAAAGCAGTCAATGCTGAAGAGAAAGTGAAAGAGATGTGTGTATACTTGGGAATTGTACACCTGAGCATGCTGCCCTTGAAACAGCCATTTGATGAATCTATAATATGCAAATGAGATCAATAAAAACTATTATTCATTTGCTGATATAGTGCTGTTATAATGAGCATGCAGATGTGTTTGTATCTGATCCAACTTTGGTAACTGTGTGAGATACTTATAATATGCTGACATAGAAGTAGATGCTATTGGACAGGATTCTGTCAGCGTGTCTTTTATCCATATAAAGTGTTTGTCGTAGCAAGGTCCTCATACCACCCCCTTCTGCGGTACACCTGTCTCTTATTAGATAGCCTAAACACACACACGCACACAGACATTTACAGGTCAGCGGGTGCGTCATGAACCATGGAACAAGATGCAGAAATGCATGATCTGTAATCCTGGATTTTTAATTTTTTTTTGCAATGTTCACATGGTTTAAAGAGGTAAAATACACTGTAAAATAAATATTAATTACAGCCAACAGTCATTCTCATTAGTAGGTAGCATGTGTGCTGCTGTTGGCAGCAATCTGTTTTTAACTAGCTTTAACCTTAATTACACATCTTCCTGAATGACTGTGTGTGTTATATTGGAGACAAACACACACTTCTGTCTTCTCTTTCTCCATCTCTCTCTTGTTCCACTCAGTCCCTCTTTTTTTTCTCTCGCTCATATTTATCTCCGGAAATCTATAATTTCTGTAATCCTAATCTGAGGGTGGGGCCACAGATTATCAGTGGATAAGAGATGGAAGAGGGAATGTGAAGGGGAGGGACACGCATGAGTCATAGGAGTTATAATTGAAACACATTGCTATTTTCTAATGTCCATGAGACACCTTTTTAGTTTCTGTACAGCACATCATGGCTGCAGAATTAATCTGCTCCTCAACATACAAGCACACATGTGCACTCATCTCCCTCTCATTTCTCTTCTCTTGTCTCTGATTGTGAGTTGTTTGAGGTTGAGGGGATTATAAGGGATCTGCTTTTGTAGGAACAGTGACAGAATGAGAGAAACAGAGAGAAAGAAGTATAGAGGGAGAAAGAGATTAAGACAGATATTGTGATATGTGTATGAGATCCGTGGAGCTCAGAAGTAGTTCTCTGAATTTGATACAACTATATATTACATTTTAAGGCTGCATTTATTTGATAATAAATACAGTAAAATCGGTATTATTGCAAAATATTATTATAATTTAAAATAATAAATTATTTTTACTGTTTTCTATTTTAATTTAAAATGTAATTTATTCCTCTGATGCAAAGCTAAACTTTCAGCAGGCATTACTCCAGTCTTCAGTGTCACACGATCCTTCAGAAATTATTCTAATATACTGATTTGGTGCTCAAGAATCATCATTATTATTATTATTATCAATGTTGAAAATAGTGCTTAATATTTTGTTGCAAACCATAATAGTTTTCGGGATTCTTTGATGAATAGTAAGTTCAAAAGAACAACATTTATTTGAAATAGAAATCCTTTCTAATATTATAAATGTCTTTACTGTCACCCTTGAACAACTTAATGCATCCAAAGTATTAATTTCTTAAAAAAAAAAAGCACTGGCCACAAACTTTTGTATTAGTTTAAAAATTAAATTCACACGTATAAATGTAAGTTGCATTTTACCTCCTGTCTCGTTTGTGCAGCAGAAGAACAAGCAAACAGATTGTGAGCACAACCAACAGCAGGCTAAGCACCGCCCCTAAAGCCTGACTCCGCCCAGACAATCCAGCATGCTCCTCCCCTCCATCAGTGCTGTGCGGGTCCATGGAGCTGGACAAACTATGAGAAAAACAATGTACTCAACTCAAACTTACTTGGCTAACAAATCTATGTTGTAGAATTGTTGAATTAAAGCCTAAAAGTATGTTTAGGCTTTGGTTATACTCACAAAAATTCACAAACGGTGGCGGTGTGCCAAACAAACAGATACTGGCAGCCATCTGTCTCCAGAAGGAATTCTGGGATACCTTCTCCTGCCGTAGGGCTGCAGTGGAACAGGATAGTCGAGGACACAGTTTTGGTTTTGTCTCGTCCACATACAGATTCAGATGGTACCGAGACATCAAGATTTCCACCTGACAAAATACAACACCAGGTCATGCCATAAAAGTGTTACATCATCACTGAAATACAAACCTAAACTAATAATATGACTTCATACTACAAACTAAATTGAATTGACAAAAAAAAAGTAATAAAAATGGTCAACATATGCTAACTGTACCCTAATTTTTTATTTTTATAAATAAATAAATATATTATATATATATATATATATATATATAGGAGGGTGGAAATTACATTTCCAAATATTGAATAAGTATAAAAAAGAATTTGAGAAATTACACAAAATATATATACAAACAAAACATTTAACAATTTTTGTGTTACAAAAAGAATTTGTCAATTATTTAATGTAAATAATAAAAAATAATAAACAAATTACACAATCTTTTTAAACAACACATTTTAAACAGAACATTTATTTAAAAAAATATTTCTGGCATTTGTGTGTTGTTATAAACAGAATTTAACAATACAAATAAATACATCAATTAATTAAATATAAATAAATAAATAAACAAACAAAGGAAATCTTTAAAAAAAATGTTTAAACAATAGTTTTCATTTGCGTATTGTTATAAATAAATAAACAAACCCCTCTTTGCCTTTCATCTGTCACACATTGTAATTCCCAACATGGTCACTAATAGAATTTCTCTCACCTTTTATATAATACTTTGCTTTGCTGGAGGAGCCAATTTTTCTGCGGTAACTGTCATTAATCTTGACCTGACAGATATTGGCACCCAAACAATTGGAAATGGAGCTGTCGGTGATGCCTGACAGCTGGATGTGGTAGATATAGCGATCTCCATTGGAACGGATGTCTCCTGTGGCGTTGTGGAAACTGAGGACAGATAAAACACTGTTTATCTCATTCACATTACTAGATGTGGTGTGGTGTGGTGTAGTTGTAGGCTCTGTGTTAATGAATGAGAGTTGATGGCCAGAGATACTCACTGGTAATAAAGCGCTCCCAGGTTGAAAATGGCTCCTGTCTCGGGTACTTTGATGGTTCCATTGATCATCTCCACTTCCTCCTGCTTCACAGCACATGCAGATCGAGTCTCCCACTCCACCCAGTACTCGCATGCTGTTTTATCCTCCCTAAAACAAACAGACAAAAATATGAATCTTATTTAACTCACATTACATTAAAAATACAGACCAGCATCTCTGGAAAAAAAATAAATAAGTATGATGATATTTGATGAATTGAAAGTTCCAAAGAATATATTTTAAATCTTTTGTGGCATTATAAATCTTTACTGTCATTTATGATCAATTTAATGCATTTAATTGCAAAATTATAAATGATAGTGGTTTCCACAAACATATTAAGCAGCACAACTGTTTTGATAACAACACTGATAGTAAGAAATGTTTCTTGAGCGGCAAATCAGCATATTAGAATGATTTCTGAATGATGCTGAAAATTCAGCTTTGCATCACAGGAATAAAATACATTTTTAAATATAATTAACTAGAAAACAGTTATTTGAAATTGTAATAATATTTCACAATATCGCTGCTTTTACTGTATTTATAAATGTAGCTTTGTGACCAAAAGAGATCAAAAAAATTTTTTTTTTAATCTTAATTTCTAACCTTTCGACCAGTAGTGCATATGTTTTTTCTATTTGGTTCTCTGAAAGCTGGTTAAAAATGACACCTCTAACAGATGCTAAACCAGACGCTAAACACCACAAGTTAAGAACCTATTCATGCCAAGTCATTCTTAACTTACTTGAATAATTTCGGATGGCCCACTGTGCTGCCACACTTCAGCTGCAAGATTGTTCTTGCTGGTTTATTGTTTCCACACACCTTGTCACCCATGGAATAATTGACGAGGATCTTTCCATCTGGTGAGGACACATACTGATGAGAAACCAACAAAACCGCAATCACGTCAGAGAAGGTTTAAAATACTTACCGATTAACTCCATGGTCTGCGTGTGAACACGGCCCAGAGTCTCGGTCTTCCCGCTGGCACGTCTGCGACACACGGCGGCGTCTGCTGCACACCCTGGCTGGCCTCCATGAATGGCCTGGCAGAGATTGAAGTAGTACCTGTGAGAACAAATAGTACAATTGTGAATTTCATAAACACTGAACAGATGCAGGTGCAATATTACACCAGTGTCATTACTGATTAAATGCAATGTGTCTAAATTCCACAGACTTGAGTACAAATAGTACTAGTACAAAAATGTATGTTTTTGAACAAAAACAAATATATAGATATAGAAATTATGGCTGATACAAATAGTTGATAATTATTGCTCTGTTTTGGCCTACAAAAATTGTAAAAATGAATTTTGTCCATCTTACAAATCTTATGAAATTAGATTTTATAATATATATTTTTATTTTAGACACACCATCACAACTCTGCTCTCCAGATACTGTATCATAATCGACCATTAAAGATAAATACATTAAAAAAAAAAATTTCAAATGAATGAAAGAACAAGATATGTTTTAGGATATGTCTTTTTATTTACTCATTTAATTAATTTTATTCGATAATTTTTATTATTTTATTAGATTATAGATTATTTATTTTGGCGGAAAGTGTTAATGTTAGGTGCAAAAATGCATTTTGCTAAATTTACAAAGATTGAAAAAGATTACAATACAATAAAACAAAAAACTATTTTATAAAAGAAAAAAGAAAAAAAAAAATGATAGTAACAACTGCTTTCTTTCACATAAAAATTGTAAAAGAGTAATCAATACTTAAGAAAAGGGGAAAAGAAGCCATGATATTATGTTTTTCTAATATCAGCCTAAAAAAATTACTAATAAAATTCTAATACTAATTGCTAATGATACTGGCCATTAGTGTCAATGATATACTGTATATTTACATCCCGTGACAGGGGCAAATTAAATTGAACAGAACAATAGGTGTGAAACTCACGAATCGCCCCCGTTGCTAAATTTCCATGGTTCTGTTAGAGATGAGAGCGTGCGCAGGTCGTAGGTCTGGTGTTGCCCTGTAAGCTTGCACTCCATCTTTTTGGGTGGGCACACCACATTCGTTCGCCACTGGAAGGTAGCAGAACATCCTTGAGTTTCGCTCATCAGCTGAGGACTTCCACGACCCGCCGCTCTGTCACACGAGAACAAAATAGACGACTGCCGTTTCTCTCTTAGTGCTGTGAATTAAACAAGACAGAATTTGTAAATAAAAAGCTTTAAAATCAAGTTTCTATTTATTTTATTTATTTAGCAGACGCTTTTATCCAAAGCGACTTACAAATGAGGACAACAGAAGCAATCAATTGTAGTATTAAAACAACTAAAAACAGATCCAAAACTAAAAGCTAAAACTTTATAAATACTACTTATACACATTTTAAAAATAAAGAAATTAAATAAAAATGACAAATGCATACAACAAAATTTCAAAACGTAACACTAAACCAAACACAAAAAAAAAAAAAAAAACTACATATATGTGTATGTACAACCACACACACATACATACACACACACATACATATATATATACATATATATATACACACATATATACATATACACATATATACATATATATATACACATACATACACATTTATAAAATCAATATATATATTATTTCATGTCCATGTAGTTTGTTGAAGTATTAAAATAACTCAAATTAAATATTATACTACTATGTAAACAGTAAATATCACATAAGGGTTAGAAAATAAATTACTACTTTTATAAGCATATTCATTGTTGGAAAAAAAGTAGTCTTGGCTTAGTTGGTAAATAACATTAAAGGAGGGCTATGCATACAATAAATGACAAACCTTAAAACACTTAATGTCAGAACCAGACAGAAAAAAAAACAGTCATACACACCACCTCCATCATAAGTGTCACAAGACAATGACACAAACTCAGTTTCCTTAAAAGAACTTGTTCCTGTTTTAAAGAAGCATTACACCAGAGCAAATTTTTTCTGTATTAAAGCAACCAACAAGATCCAAATTCTGAAGATACACAAATTCTTGTATTCAGATGTACTCATAAAATCAACTTTCAATTAGACAGAAACACATTTGTTATTTAAATCTTAAAAAACACAAACAATTTAAGTAATGTTCACGTTATGTGCTGCCAAATTGAAAAACCGACTGAAATAATTACATTAGGTTTATTTAAACCTAATGTAATTATTTCAGTAGGTTATTACTAGTATTTACTTAATTACATTATTTTTAAATGATTAAAATGTTAAAAATCATACATTTTATAAACATAGTTATTTACATTTTACTTAAATTATTTAAATTTAATTCATTAATTAACTTAACACATCTGTTTATATTTCTTTCCTTAATAAGGAACTGTAACCATTAAAAAACAGATTAATTAAATAAAAATGAAATGAAATAAATACAGCTTGTCCAGTTGCTCTATCCCAAAATAGTACATGTATTTCATGAGTTTTATGTCGTAAATGATTCATACCGCCAGAGCAAAAGCCCCATTTGTGATCTTTGTTATAGTCGCTTGTAGTGGCACACCACGTCCTGCCGTCAGTCCTGCCCTCAGTTGTGCACTCAGTATAAGACTTGTCCAGGAACTTAAAGGGGAAAGTGCACACTTCATTTTTAACTGTAACTGAAAGACAATAAACACACATTTTAATCATTTAGGGGAAAAGTGTAACGAGAGTCTATCAACAGATTCCATCTTAGATCTTGACCTTGGTTGACTGCAATGCATGGTAGTGCTGCATTTCCTATAACACATGCATGCAATGTTGCCAAATCTTACAATTATTATCTTCTAGAACAAGACCATCTGTCAAAAGTGTGCCCATGCTGCCTTAAAATGTAGTCTAGGTAGGCAGCTCAATAGGTTTATAGAGTGATTCAGAGTGGTTTGTTTGTCTGACCTTGAGGACAGGTGTCTCCTCCACTGTACTGCATGATCACAGCCTGCTCTTCTCTCTTGTAGTCTAAGTTCATGATTTTGCTGTTCCCGTATGAAGCCGCAGAGGCCGTTGAGATCAGACATACCGCGCTGTCTTTACATGCTGTGCCCGCCACAGTCCCACACACATTGATATTAAAAGAGCCAGAGCTTCCAGGAACCTAAAAAAACACAAACTAAGCTCCAGAATCATCCCTTCGCTACTATGTGTGTATAAGTTGACAAAGTGAGATTTCTGGCATATATACACACACTACCGTTGAAAGGTTTGGAGGTCTGGATTTTTAAAAATTAATTAATTAATTATTTTAAAATGAATACTTTTATTCAGGAAGGATGCATTAACTTCATGAAGCAACAGTAAAGGCATTTATAATGTTACAAAATATTTCTATATCAAAGAAATGCTGTTCTTTTGAAGTAGTCATCAAAGAATTCTGAAATAAAACATATCAGATTTCCATAAAAATATTAAGCAGCAGAACTGGTCTCAACACTGATAACAGGAAACGTCTCTTAAGCAAATCGGTACATTAGAATGATTTCTGAAGGATCATGTGACACTGAAGACTGGAGTAATGATGCTGAAAATTCAGCTTTCACTCACTGGGAATAAATTACATTTCAAAATAAATTCAAATACAAAACGGTATATTTTAAATTGTAACAATATTACTGCACTCTTGCTTGATCAAACAAATGGTGCCTTGGTGACTTCTTTGAAATGCAGCCTTGGCATAAGAGACTTCTTTCAGAAACATTAAACAATCTAACAGACCCCCCAACCTTTTGATGGCACAAATTTCAAATGTTCAGTCTTGGAAAAGTCTTTCTCTCTTCATTACCTGAACGGTCCCTGACAGAGCTGAGAGGTCAAATGTATAGCGCAGCTGGGAGACGGTCAGACTGCAGCCGTGCGCTGTGATGGTCTCCGGGCAAACCACAGGAGTGGCCCACTCAAACACATACATACAGTCCTGAGCCCGGATCATCTGAGGAGAACCCTGTTTGTGCAAAACCAACACTCACATTCAGGTACAACAGAGATGACTGACAGAATTATTGAACCAACAATCACTCGGATACACTCAACACCATTTATGACTGTTTTGGGTTGCTCTCTTACCAGCTCTGCCCCTTTCTGGCAGGTGAAAACGATCTTGGAGGAGTAGTTGGAGGTGGGGTCAGAAGGGCAGACGGTTGTGCTGCTGAAGGTGATCTCCACCTCATTGGTGTTGATATTATAGCGAGGAGGGGAGGTGATTCGTCCGATGTCCTGCACAGAAAAAAACAAAAAAACAAGCCCACACTGAATTTAAAACCGAAAAATCTGATTCAAACATGTCATTTAATATCAACTCCCGGTGCCATGGTATGATTAGTAAAAATATTTTGCACAAATAAACTCAAACTAACATGAATAATGTCACAAACGCAAAAACGACAGTATGTAATTTCTTTATTTCTAGTGTGACCAGGTGTGCATGTAGTCTAAGACAGCCTCCAATATTGGTTATTATTATAATAACGATAACATATTATTAAATTCCATAATTAATACTTGGGCTGCAAAATTTGGGGAAAAATTCTAATTTGATTTTTCTGATAAAACTTATGATTTAAAATGTGATTTAAAAAAAAAGTACACAATTGCACGATTTGGCCAAAAAACAAACAAACAAAAAGAAAAACTGTGATTATATATCAATATGACTATAAAATAAAAACAACAATAAAAATTATGAATATAAATATTAATTATTATTATTATTATTATCTTTATAATTACTACTAAAAAAAAATTACAAAAGAAATATTATACTGTAATACTTCACTGTAAAAATAGCAATAAAATAATTCTGACATAAACAGCCATATTATACTATAATATTTCCGAAAAATAAATACTTCTAGTACTAATTATTTTTTATTATTACTATATAAAATATTAAAATAAGAAATTACTGTAAAATAAAAATGTATTTAAGAAAATAATAGTAATTACAATAATAATAGATTATTATAATTATTACTACTAGTAGTACTAAATAAATATTAAACAAATAAAAAATGACTCATATTTTACTGTTAAAAATGAGTACTTAAGAAAATAACAATAATAATAGTAATAGTATTTTACAGTTCAATAAAGTAGAATTACAATACTATTTAATGGCTGTTATAATTTTTCAAATGTTAAACCATTCGTAGTACTTTTTAGGTCTGTAGATCAAGGAAAGCGGAGTTCACTATTGTACTGATGCATTTACTCACAACTGGATCTCCATCAACAGGATCCATGCACACAGCGGCCCCTGGAGGACAGTTGACCCCTGGGATGGGGTTGAGGGGCTGGCAGATGTTGATGTAGAAATCAGGAGACTTTTCCCTGTCTACATCCTCGTTGATAGCTGTGTAGTAACCGGTGAGATGGATCAGAGGACTGAGGTCAATCTGGTTGGTACCGTTCCAAACGGAGCACTTCACCTGCAGAGAAGAGACACTGAATTTGTTGCAGGTTCAACCGAAGCGAGGTTTAGAGAATCGAAAACTTTAAAGACTTCCTGTTACCTGTTGTTCGCAAACCAGAGGAGTGTGCCAGGAGAAAAAGTGAGTACAAGTGGTGTCATCCGAGTACACCAGCACGGGTTCATCTGTACCTCCTCCCTCAGACTTGCAGACGAAGCTGAAGATGCTCTTGTGTTTGAGGGAAGGGTTGGCGGCACACGCGTCTCCATCCTCATAGGTGAGCTCCACCACCTGATCCTTATACACCAGCTGCCTTGTGGTTTTCCCACCACTTATGGCCTTCTGAGTGTCTTTGATGCACACGGCTGCAGCAAAAAACATCTCAACATTACCGTACAAAGTCTTTTTTTTTTTTTTTGCTTAGGGCCTAAGTCTTAAAACATGACGAATAATGCAACAAAAAAAAAAGCACAAACAAAACTACTTTTATATATAAAAAATACACAGAAAATAGTGTCTACATATAAAAAATAGTGTCTAAAGTGACAAAATGTGGTGAAAAAAATTATTAGAAAAATATATAGCTTGTATATTGTATATAAAATTAAATACAATTACATAATATATACATACATATATATACATTTTTAAAAGTTCATTTTTCAAGTTCATTTAAGTTTATTACAGTATATATAATATATATTTATTTAGTCATTTATTTATTCTAATA